TGATTTCAGATTAAAAATGTAGCTCATAATTACGGATTAATCGTCAATAACGATTAACTGTCGATGATTAGCATGATTACTGATATTAATTAATTAGAGAAATAATACTATCCAACTTTTGATTACCACGAGAAAGTAAAGTACATTTGTTCGTTGTATCTTTCTGGAAAAATGAATTCACACGTTTATATTTTATTAACGTTAAAATTTCAACTACTGCAATGCTCTTATTTGTCCATTTACTGCAATGACAAATCCTTCTATGCTTTCGAATTAAATTTGAAACTATTGTCTAATGCGAACACGGTGTACGTTATCGTATACTATTAGCCATAAATTTGTGGCGAAAACGCTCGTTATTATCTATTGCAATACAATGAATGAACAGTTAGAATTACCTATTCACATGTATGTACCAAACGCGAATTATTGTCCTTTATATACGAACATAATAATAACGATATTCCCATAACTCCATTCTTCAGATGGCATAAAAAATATATTGAATTCCATTTAAAAAATTGAGAGTCGCCTTCATTTCTCGAAAAATAATGTAAATATGCAAGATTAATATACATTGTCCTATTGGTCATAAGCAACTGTGAACCTTTTCCCTCTCTCATTTTTTTGTAATTAGAATAGTTTTCGAAAAACTCGCTGGCTAGTAATAGCATGAACACTCTGTATACAGGGTGTTGGGCCACACCTGTGAAAAATTTTAATGGGAGATTCTTAAGGCCAAAATAGGACGAAAATCAAGAATATCAATTTCTTGACTGAGGCTTCGTTAAAAAATTATTAAAAAATTTCAAATCATTCAGAAAAAATTATTTTTGGTTCCAGAGGTAAATTGCAATCATTTTTGGTGAACCCACATACCTCCGAAATCCTACCCAGTTTCGAGAAAAAAATTCGGGTAAGTGCAGAAATTTTCTGGTAAAAAAAATTTTTTCAAATCGTTTAAAAAAAATTATTTTCCGTTGCAGGCGTCGATTACAATCATTTTTGGTGAGTACACATACCCCCGAAATCCTGCGCATTTTCGAGAAAAAAATTCCTTATCGAAAATCTAATGTGAGGCCAGAAATGACATTCGAAACGAAAGAAAATCGACTTTGCTAAGAATGCTACGAATACTTTTGTGGACTGTTATTACGTACTAGGTAGAGTAAAATCAATATATTTTTGTTATTAGTTAATCAATTTTGTTATAATTTGATATGAATAAACTTTATACATGTGTTCATTTATAGCAAAATCTTACATGCATCGTTCGATTTCAACAAATTTCTCCCATAAGCAATAAGGGTACGAATACTTGTGGGATTAACTGTAGGAACGGAAGGTCGATCGAGCGCTTGCGAGAGCGCAGCCCCCCTGGTGGCGAGTACGGGAAGGTGACGCCACAAAACTGCACACGTAATACCAATAAAATTCTACAACAACGTGGCCAAAATTGGTATAAATTCTCCTATTGCGCCCTACTGTACTATTTTTCTCTACTGCTTTTACCGGTGTCCTTTTTTGAAGAAAAAAAAAAAAAAAAAAAAAAAAATAATTAAAGCGACTTACACCACCCTTAATTTCATTTAATATACCAGCCTCCCCTATGCAATTTCATTTTATAACCGATAAGCACCTGCATGGACAGTGTCGATGCACACGTTATGCATTGTAAGGTTTCTGGAATAAAAATCCTGAAAGTCCAGCAGTAGGAAATACTAGCGCCGCCATCGTGATGCCTGCGGCCAAACAAGACCTACAGAAAACGTCGTCTACTTGTGGGTGCACCGTCTTGTCGCACAGACACTCGTTCATTTTTAATACACGACTACTGAGTCAGGTATACATGGACGTCTCCGTAAGTCGAGCCAACGGGCGGTCTGTGTTTACATTGTCGTTGTAACCCGACTCCGTGGACGGCGCCACGTAGCACGTCCCTTGCCCTTCGTGGAACATCGCAATTTCTTTCCCCTCGGATTTCTTCCTTTTCTCTTTCTCGATATCTAAATATTAATCGTCTAACGAAGGGCTGTCCACGTGGAAGTCGATTCTGGAATAAAACTGTGCCCTGTCCACTGAAACAAGTCATGACTTCTAAACAAATGCACGTAGAGGCGATAGGGCTGTCTCGCCGCGCCAGACGATCAGAGAACGACCACGCGGCAGCAGAAAGCACGCATATCCTACGGCAATAGAATTGAAGTTCTTAGCCAGGATCAGAAAAAATCTCCAGAGATCGTCGATCGAGATAGAGGCGCTAGACGAAGACACAACGACGATAAGTCTCGGAGGAACGGAACAACTGTAGATGAAAAATGTGCATAGTATTTGATAAGTCTTGTAGTAGACTTAATCCGGTATCGTTAGCACTGGCAGGGGAGTAATGTGGCGTCGCCTCTCATGCTCGCCACCAGAGGGGTCGCGTTCTCACAAGCGCTAGACTCGATTGCTATATACTATACATTCCTCGACCAACTTACCCAGACCTAACCTAGACCTAAACCAGACCTAAACCAGACCTAAACCAGACCTAAACCAGACCTAAACCAGACCTAAACCCAGACCTAAACCAGACCTAAACCAGACCTAAATCAGACCTAAACCAGACCTAAACCAGACCTAAACCAGACCTAAACTTAAACATTAAATTAAATAACTGTACGTTATAGAAGATGTGGCGTCGCCTCCCATGCTCGCCACCAGAGGGGTCGCGTTCTCACAAGCGCTCGATCGACCCCTCGGTTGCTATATGTATACATTCCTTAAATGACTTCCCAATATCCCAATCGTCTAAGACAGAGCCTTCTAGAAAGTCTTACTGATGAGTTCTCCCCTCATTTTTCCTTTTCTGTCCCCCCACGAATATCACGAGTTCCTACCCTCAGCGAAGCAGCGCCACACACATTTATTTGCTAAAAACCGAGCATAAAAATATCTACGGTAAAAGTTAAATAAATTTCATTCCAAATAAATTTTTGTTTATATTTGCAGTAGGTTTTATATAACGTTTGCACGCCATGTTGGAATCACAAAAATCTAGAAAATAAGAGAAAAATATAGAAGAAAATAAATATGGAATTGCAGGATTCACCATTATACGTAAAATCTAAATATATTTTACAGATCGTATGAATGCAATCTCATTACTCGAGCAATTATTTTTCAGTATTTTCATTTGAAAGAAAATTTAGTTTAAATTTTGAAAAATTTCTCTGTTGTATTGTCCTGTTGCATAGTATACATATTTCAATTTTCTCTCGTTGAATACATTTTTGAATACATTGGTAACATATATTTTTATATTGTGTAGTAAATAACAATCGTATACATGCCAATTGTTATAAATATAAACATATATTGTACTGACATATTATTCATTAGTAAAGAAATTGTTTGGTACTGATCAGCATAAAAAAATCTCTAGCAGATTGTCTTATAAATATAAAATGTCTCGTCGAAATTATTTCAACAAAATACGAGGTACAAATAAACTGAGAAATAATCTCATAAACCCAATCGATCGGTTTCCAGCTATGGCATGCAATTGTCCTATTTTTGGTGACTGATCAGTTCTCAATCCATGATACTGGTTGTTATCATTTGTTGGTTTATTATTGTTGCTTCTGTTCGTATTTATACCAAAATAGTACGAACTATACGATAAATAAATCATAGATTTTTTTATAACAAACATAGCTTTTAATAGTTTCATAGATACGAAGAAATTATAACAATTTTTTCTTTTTATGTTTCAAAATTTATCTCATTCGTGTCACATAAAAGTCTATCATTTAATTTGAAGTTTAAATTTAATAAACTTTTGAAGAGGGCCCACAATAAAGTTTAATCGTAAAAAAAATTATCTCAATTTCCTCGTGCCTGTCACGTTTTATAACCTAGGCTTAAGATTATGGTTAATTAAAGTGAAAATTATACTTTCGTGCATGGAGGATCGAAAGGAATTGAAAGCATAAAAATTCGAAAAGATATTGTGTAAAACAGTTTACGTGAAAACATCCAAGATAATCTTGAAACGAGATAAACAAACCATTGTCGGTTGATAATTTTGTCACAATAGAATGATATAGCATTGAAAATGAAATTAAATGATGAAAATGAATATTAAATCGATACAAATGAACAACGTGTATTACAAACAAATAAAAATTTGCATTTCTCATTTAGCACTCATTTAATGCGACTCTGCAATTATTCGATTTATCTCATTTCATCAAAAGTGTATATTAATTTGTATTAATTCTACAAAAACAGAAATATAATCCGATAAACTGACGAAATTTGTGTAATTGTTTTACATTTTCACGTAACTAGTTACAACTGCCACATTTTTATAAATAACATAAAAGGTACCACGTCTCAAAAATGGATATTTCAAGTAGGATAATTGACAAGAAAAAAACTATTATATATCGAATACGATGTCGATATAAAAGAATTCACGTTTAATTCTTTAATCATTTCGACATTTTGCAGCAATTTAACTGCGTACAAATGACTCTGTTCGAAAAAAAGGAGACAAATGGAAAAGGAAGAATTGACGCACGACGTCCGGCATACGAGCTGTGCTGGTAGCTTCGACGAGACAAGGGCTTGTAATTGATGTAGCAATTAATTTAATTGGACCGCTACCAGGTTTCGCATTTTTTATTTTAGCTATAGCTTTCCGTTTCTTTTTCGTGCATTAGTCGACTAAAATCACTGATCGCATCCAAATCGTTTCTCGATAGGAACGTAGGAATTATATTCTTAATGCGAATTGCTGTACCGGAAAAATGGTATTGTGCAGATGTATGAAACGAGGTAGTCACACTCTATTAACAAAAACATTTTGAACTTGTATGTAAAATGAGTACTAGTTTGAGATTACACAGAAATAATGACACTATCGATCACAGTAACCGAACCGAGAGTGAGAATCAGATATGACAGGTTGCTACGCGTTACATTAAGTGTAACGGATTTACGAGAGTACGTACCTCGAAATAATCCGATGAATTACATGAGTTGGGCGAAAATAATGAGTGTGAGAACAGTAAAACATTTCACTACGGTCACTTATTTCTAACTATCACACACTGATACACTCGCGGTTAGAACACGACTAAGAAAATGGCCGTGAACTTGGCCACCACGAGGCATCGATTGGCAGGCCCATGATCGGTGCGCGCGCATGTCAATCATGAGCAGATGCCCATTTTCGGTGTTGAGCGCATCTTTGTTTGTTGCCATTCAGCGCTATAGTCAAATTACAATTACATTTATTCGCGTTTGTTGTTAACAATATTCGTAATCTGAGCCTCTAATAGAATCTTTGAGCAAGATAATTTAGCAACACTTAAATACCTTCTCGATGCTTCATTTCATATAAAATGAATTATTAATATTCTTATGATATTTTATGAGATATATTTTGCATACATATTGCTTCTGTTTCTCATACTTCCCACCAATACTAAACTGATGAACTAGAAAAGAATTGAAATGATTCATTCGATGATCAAATTAGTAATTTATAACGAGACTTAAAAAAGAACATTTGATAAATTCGAAATGTATACACACAATCTTTACAAATTCTTTCATTTTGCCAATACATATATGTATGTATATAGTTTGCAAAATTAATGTGAAGCTTTTGTAAACACGTTGCACGTTTCCCATTGAAATTCATTTTAAAATAAATACACCGTGTCTCGAAATGATATAAAAAAAAACAAACTTCCATGATACACGGATAATGAAACAAGAAAGTTTTTCTGTAAACTTTTTCAGCTTGAAACGCGACTTGACTCGAAACTGCTGTTCCTCACAAACCCTTCCCTTTTTCATCTCTTTTAGTGCACTCTCGAAATGATTCAATTAAAATAATCTGCTTTACCTGAACAGAAACTTACTTTCAAACGAATTTAGATCAAAAGAAACTTTTATTGTTGCGTTTCAATAAGGTGCTGTTCTGAACCAATTCTACATATGAAACTATTTTACAATTCCTGAGAAAGAAATGATGGCACATATATAAAAACAGTGATAATATAATGATAAATGAATTTCTTTATTGAGAGACACTGTGACTTGTATTAAATTCTAATCAAATTAGAAATTTCTGAATAAAAATCTCCATAATTCAATCTCTAGTCTATAATTAAATTGTATCATTGAAATTCTTTAGTCATTATACGACCCCCTCGGTCTCAATATCGATATATCGATCCGAGATTCGTCAACTGTTTTGGCTACCGTGCAAACTGCTACATTGTGCCCTTTTTCTATTTTTTCTATATTTATAATATGTGCCAAAATGTGCATAAAATAAGTACGACTGGATTAAAGGACAGAAGCGATGCTTCTGCTTTTATCTGCAGAGTGTTACGGGACGCTGACGAGAGGACGGTTTGAGGTTTGAAGAGTCGGTTACAAGAGCTTTCGTAGTACGTGCAAAAAGCCACCTCTTGCACGTATGGCACTATCAAAGATGCCTTTGCTTAACGGAATAACGCACACACATATATGCATCCATACCGCTGCATCGCAGTTTTTAATCAGGAGCTGGGGATGCGTTTTTTCCTACGTTGTTTTATTTCGTATATTTATGTACGCGAAAAATATTTTAGTTGCCGCGAACGCGGTATTTAGATCGGAGTTGGATATTTTTAACCGGCTTCGAGCCACGTGGAACCCTATTAGTTGAACATCGAGGTGGCCAACAGCTTCCTATAATTTTACTAATGTTACATCTTCGATGTTTTTAAAATATAAACGGTTGTGAAACATTTGAAGAAAATATAGGACATCACCAATCCAGCTCACGAATGTACAAAACTCTTAAAACCAAATGTCAACAAAAAACTACTTCCTGGTGGAGCGAGGAAGTCATCATGCATTCGATAGGACAAAGTTAATTCTTCGATACAAACAATACAAGAATCTTCAAATGAAACATGGAACTCGATAAACCGTACTTACAAAGATACGTAATATGACTCGCCGGGCAATATAGAATAATTCAATCGATAATACATACGTATTTTTTTTCAGCTGCGGGAACTTGAGTTTAAGGGGTGAAACCACCCTCCAAGGTTCGACCCCGAAAATGCTAACTCGAAAACGGTTAGAGATAGAAAAAAGATGTTTTAACAAAAATCGAATGATTTTTTACATACGAGAGGAAAATGTTCGAGTCGACGAAAAATGTTTACAGAAAATTCATCCGCCATGTTTATTTGAAAAATTACAGTAAAACTCAAGTATAAGTAGAACAATTGCTGTAACTCTTCAAATAAATATGATAGATGCATGTTTTTTAAACATTTTCTTACACTATATGAATATGGTTTTCGTAATCTGCTTGAAAATATTTCTCCACATACACGACGTTTTACTTTTTATAATTAGTTTTAACGTCAACTGCTTTCAGAAGTTTTTCTCGTTATCCGCGTGGAATTCGAAGTAGTTCGTAGACGGCTCCATTTTACCACACTTTTTAATTTTCCAGTACTCTTCATTCAGAAATGTCGAATAGATACTACACCGCCTTTCGATATTTTGTCAATAAATTTTGCAATCCCTGCAACAGAATAATCTTCCGATTGTAAAAGTAAAACTTTATTAATCAAACTCTTATCCAACGACTTCTCTTGACCCAGTTTACAAATTCATTGGAAAAAGAAATACTCTGGGCATGTTCGTCAGATCGATACTTTTTAAAATGACAAAAGAAGCAGCGAATCTTGTAATAACATCTTAACGTCGAACAATCTCCCTTATAAAACTGAAAATATAAGTCGACTGTAATAAGAAATGGAAATCCACGGTTGCGTCGAGTCTGTTGTCCATTAAAGACAAATTTTATGATAAGAACTTTCTAAATAACCTCTCAAGACCAGATCAAGGTGCAATTTCAAGAATCAAGACAGTGCACAACTTATCCATTCGTCCTTAAATATTATAGAACTGTTATTCCGATAAATATATAAACTTGAGTGCTTTAAAAATCTGTATCGCGTTTTAACTGTTTAATTATTACAGTGGACAAATGTTTTGCGATCGAAAATGTATAATTTCTTTTCGGAGTAATCAACTTTGGCATTATTGGCAGTACAATGAAGCGTACGATAGGTTCCATGATGATAAGCTGAAGAAATATTGTTCCCTGATATTAATTGAATTAATTGCACACTAACCTGATAGTTGTTAATACGTTTAATATATTAGAATGCCAGATCGATAGTAATGGATTACAAACAAGCTCGTTGATTACTGTAGTAGATACATATTCAAAGCACACAAACTATGTACTACGTTCACTAACACAACAATTACGCTTTGGGTCGTATATTAATGTTTCCATTAACAGAATTTATATAAATAAATTACGAAAAGCAATTTATAGAGGGAACATAGAATTTGGTTATACTTGTGTATTTTCTAGTCACAGAAAGATACAAATAGTAGACCATCCCACATATTAGAATTTAATTAACTCTTTTCTCTAGAGACAAATATTATAAGAAGGGAAATTCTTTTCTCGAGATCACCGTTTTCGAGACTTCAAAGTCATCAGAATTTTTCAAACAGGATAACACATTATTATTACTATGGTATTAAAGCGGACAAACAAAATAAATTCAACCATGTAGGACAAAATCGAAAGTTTAATCAAGTTTGATAAAGTATTTTTGCTATTAATTATATTCTTAAAAAAGAATCGTTAATTATGGAATATGTTGCAAAGAAACACACGTTATACATAAATTATAAAAATATTTTATATAATCTATTAATTATATATTCTATTATTTTCAACAATTAACAACTTTATTACATCACTTGTCGATAATTCAATTCCCACCATTTTGCGGGAATTTAACTAAAGGTTTGTTCCATTTCATTGTATCATCGTCTTCCACGACATTACGAAAAAAGTATAGCGTTACGACGAGCGTAACAAAGATGAAAACATCGCTGATCATCGTAGAACTGGAGACGACGTTGGGAGAATATTATTCGAGCAAGAAAATAAAACAAATTCGTTCAGACGCTACCAAGCTTGGAAAAATTCTGCACAGAACAACTTTCCTCTGCATTTATTCTTCGCTCTCATATGTGAACTCTTAATGATACTGAATTATTCATGGGCACCAACCGCATTTCGCCTTTGCTTCACATAATTCATACTCTTCCTCTTATCTGTTTGAACTGTTCTTTGTTTCTTCCTTATAGACATGCAGATAAAGTGATACGAATTTTAAATAGAAATTGTACAAACCAAGGATCGATTTACAGTTATTGTTTTCAGAAGCACTGCGAACCAGACAATAATAAAATTGTAAAACTATTCGATATTATACGTATTCTTGTTTCTTGAAACTTCAACTAACTCTATACGACCTAGTAAAAATCTTTATTTTTCTAATAAACTTAAGTTTATCAAACAAACCGACTAATGTAACAGTTAGTAGTATCCATTTTAATGCCTCCCCTTAGGGTTACACTTACTCCTCATCTCACACCTACAGACCTTGACTAATGTAACAGTTAGGTATGGAGAAAATATATTTTGTTGAAAAAAGAAAATTGCTCGTTAATGTTAAAAATATTTACTTCGGCGTATAATAACTTATTGATGTTCGTATCCATTAAAAGCGTATTCAATTTGCTTTTAACTGCATAAACGAAGTTTACTAAAAGCGAGTTTCAATTGCACCATTCCGCGAACAGCACGACAAATCTTATTTGTTTCGAACAGCAATTATTTTCTTCAATTAATTATTCTCGCTTATTCGATATCAAGGTAATTACGTACACGTTTTGTTTAAGACCGCGAATTCCATCGCCCGCAGCGCGGAACAAAAGTTTTACTTTAAGAGTTCATCTTTTTTCAAACGCGATAAAATATACCGTCGAGACAAAACAAAAAAAGAACTGCGCATCGCGACACGCGAATGAAAAGCGTGGAAAAAGCGACGGAGCGAGCGTTTCCCCCGCATTTGCATGAGAATAACTGGCATGGAACCATTATTATATATTTCACTCGGGTACCACTTCCGGTCAAATTGCAGCTTAACGCTTAATCAAAAACAAATTGATCAAACGAA